TATATATGAGCGTCTTGATTTGAAACGTGCAATAACTTATGAAACTTATAATAACAAATACTTAACTCTATAACGCGTATTAAAAGAAGTTCAACATCTTGGGGCAGTATCTTAATCCTTTCGGGACGGGGAACCTCTCTCTTTGGACGCGTCGGATACGAATTTTATTTTCTCAGAGTCTAGGTTGAGAATCGACGACAGTCCCGAAAGATTTAAGCTTAAAGTGAGTCTTACACGATGGTTCGAAGAAGGTACAAAAGAAAATCTCTCTACAATACATATTTATACAAAGTGATTAAAAAAAAGACTATAAGTAAGTGACCTTACAGTACCGTAACTTAACTCGACTACAGATTCATGCCCTTCGCTCGAGATATCGCCAAACATGCTGTTGAGTACCTAAATCACAAACTTCGTTACCTCATCTTGCAGGACGCTTAGCTCGCTAGGATCCCTCGCGTCGTAATTGCACAACACTCTTGCTCTATCCTGATCGTTCTCGGCTAGTGCGTTGGTGGTGGCTGGTGGGGTGGTGTAATAGGGACCCCCAGATAGTCTGGGTAGGTAAACGATAAGTGAATTTATAGTGCTATAATCTTATTTGTAATATAAACTCGTGTACGAGGGAAACTTGAGGATAGGAGACACAAAGCGACTTTTTACGAGGATCATATACTGCCATACAACGTGAATATATTGTAATATCGTTTCACGTTTATATTCAGGCACACACTCACCACAGCATTCTACATAGTTGTTACTTGACATTGAGCGAGATAATAAGTATTCGATTGTGGTGAATTGGATCAGTCAGTATGCATGCAATTTAAAAAGATCAAATTTCGCATTAAAGACATTTTTATTCGGCAAATTAGTCTGTTCTTTTGCGGGTATGTGTGTTTTCAATTCTACTGGTTCAATTACATGCATTATTATGATTTACCCCAATATTCCCTGATATTATGGAAAGAATGGAAAAATTTAATCTTTCTCCGCAGTACATAATACAGGCAGATGATTAATATCCTAGTATAGAAAAGCGTGATATGTCTACATTTATATCGTTGTTCAGTTACATGGCGCATCGAGATTAGTTTCTCTTTGATGCCATTATGGCCATTCTCGGCCGAGTTACGGCGATCCAAAGCAACTGTTTTGAAAAGACAATACAAGAACAATAAGAGGTAGTAGTGTAGAAGAAGCTAAAAAAAAAAAAAAATATATATATATACCGCATTGATCGCCGTAAATCGTTCACAAAGGAATTTATCGAGAAAGATATTCTGTCCATCCTATTTCATCTAAATATACAATTGCATGTACAATTATACAACGTTATAGAGTATTTATATATGTATATTGATAGGTAACAATTCTGTAAAGATTAAGAGACAATCGGAATTAAGCTTTTTAACGTGTACGTGTAACTTGAACGAACGTCGTTAAAATGGGAAAAATTACATGACAGTTAACATAATTGAATTGCCAACTGGATTCGAAATTCGTAACGATCCGTCAATATTCGTACTCATAAGGTTGAAAACTAAATTTTACTGATATCAGTGTCGAATGTGGCGGTAACGTAAGCGGCAGATCCGGCGGTTACGGACGAATTTTGAGAAAGAGTGGGCGAAGGATTTAGCTCGATCACTTCCTCGCTGTTGACTCTCAGCAAAGGGCTCGGTTGACGCGCCCTGCAATTACCAATCGTGCAAGCAGAGATAGAGAGTAGCGGGAGAGAACACGCTCCGACAGATTGCACGAAGACCGAGGAAGCAAGGAGTAATCAAATGAATAAAAAACATTTTACATCTATTACTAGCGATTGTTACAATGTTTATAGGACAGGATGCTGATATGGAAGCAATTAAATTATGTCGGCATTAGATCTGGTCTAACTAATCATTCGCTGGTTTCAAGCTATCTTGAAATTTTATTAATCAATGTCATTGAAACCAGCTGTAACAGGTAATGTTCGTCAAACCACCAAAACTGCATCTTCTGTGCAGTGAAACATTTCCGTCGTAAAAAAATTTCATCGCGTCTTTTTGTCCAAATCTATGCCCGCGATTGCTACAAGGAGAAGCAGAGTTTACGAATCGTATCTAAACATACCTATTAACATTCAAGGTTTGTCAAACATTACTCACTCAGATCACCATAAAGTAGGATAGCTGTACAAAAATGTTGCAATAACAATACGCTGCATGAGGACAATAACGTGCTGAATACAAATCGAATAGAGTAGGTAGATAGAATACTTTTTAAAGGAAAACGAAAGCCAAAAAGTGAAGAAGGCAACCAACTTACCCGGCAAGCTCGCGCTGTAGATCTTGCATGACAGCGTGACATTGCGCGTAATGACGTGTTTGCGCCTCCACGAATTCATGCAAGCATCGCAAATGTCCGGCCTGTGAGCTCGAGACACCTTCCAGCAGCAATTTCACTATCTCTGCTTGTCGATCGAACTCTGATTGTGCTACCCTCAGCTCCCTCTCTGCCTGAGTGAGCAATATAAACATTTTATTTATTATTGTTTTCTCTATATTTTAATATTTACTATCTAAGATGAAGTCAGGAAACTAAAATGATTGTAGGTATGAAGTTGCTATCGTTATTGAATCCGTATCGTGAAAAAGCATATTTGTTGCTTCACAATTAACAATTGTTCTTTTTAACTACTGTTTTTTTTTTTGCTTATCTTTTATATATGTATATACAGATTATGAGACTATCATATGCGATACATAAAATATGACAAAAACGTGCTTTATTTGAATGTTTATGAAATTTAATACATATGGCCGTAAAAACTTTAATGCGATTGCATTGGGTTTGGATTTTTCTGAATTGAGAGAACGAACAAAACTATCGATTGCATTAATACCTGATCGAGCAACACTTCAGGTGATATGCCGGACTCCTATAAATTGCAGCAGTGTGGAGGACAAAACACATAGTAAACGTATAGAAAAATTTTTTAATGATATCGACAATTAACGATACTTACACTCTGTTGACCCAGCATGCTCCTTGCTTTCCTTACTCTATTTTTACATGCATCCAGGTCCAATCTGTATTAAAATCATTTAACATATGAGTAAAAAGACTTTTAGTATGCCCAATAGGGATAAGCGATTTTTACCTTTTGGTTTCTAATATCGCCATTTCCTTGCTGACAGTTTTCATTTCTCCATCTAAGAACTTTCTCAGAGGCTGTATATAACAATTAGCAGCAGTTCCTATGAAGTCCCTTTCAATCTGTCCCAATCTCTGCTGACATTGACCGACTTTTATTAATGCGCTACCTAGAATCGAATCTTACATCAAATGCTTTTGCATCATATATATATGCATATATTTATAAGAATATATTTGACATTAACCATAAGCTATTCCAGGACCAAAATCATTTCCAGCTTCAATCATGTCATTTCCTACGTATTCTAAATTGCTTAATCTGTTTGGTTTTCGTTTATCTATCTTTTCGTAAAAGAAATCTTCAATCCTGTTACCTGCAAAATATGTCATCTTAGAATTAACGATGGAATATATATACAGAAAGGTTTATACATTTAAATATACAATATTAAAATGTCAACGATCAATAAAAAGAATTAAGTAAAGGGCAGTTTGAGAGATATCGACAATTTTAAATAAGATAAAATGTAAATAAGAAAACAGTTAAATATACAAAAATTCTAGAATATAATTATAATAAATCACTTGTATACATATCATATTCCTTTATTTACTAAAATTTATCAACAATCAATTTTTTATCAAAATTTAAATCTGATTAAAATAATTAATTCAAATTGAATACCAGGATTCGGAGTAAGCACAGCTTCCATATTCCGCAGTATCTTTTCGGTCCATGTTTTGGTGGCATTTCCTCTTTCTGCTAGGTGTTCCAAATGAGCGTCTAGCTCGGTCTTTTCTGAAGTACCCAGCGTCTCTTCTGTCATCTGAGAGACACCAGAGAGCAAACATGATAATCTCAAATTTTTCTTGGCAGTTTCTAATATATAGTTTTAATATATATAGTAATACTCTTAATATATTGTATCATGTAATGCTCTTAAAATATAGTTGCCAATAAACAAATGCGATTTTATGATTCGCGTTCAAAGTTCGCGTCATTATTGCAATGTTAATGTAGCATCAGAGGAAGATGACGCGTCCTCATTCGATTAAAGAGGAGCGTCATTGGTGTCGGCCGACGACGTTGCACGTTAAGATGAGACCAGGGATCTAGGTTAAACGAGATTGGATGTGGATTCCAGTAGTTCGCCGAGAACGAGGAGCAGCCAAGGAAGCTGTCCAATGACATGCAAACGCGTTGATTATGATCGTTTTCAGACGTTGAATGTCAACGATGACAAACGCTGACGGATTCGAAATGCGTTCGACGTCGCGTTTCCACAGTGCGGACTTTTCAGATAGGACGAGGAAAAAAAAAAGAGGTTTCCCACCTGCACGACTCTGCTGAGTGCGGCTCCTGCATCCTTCACCAGCTTCTTCACGTTGAAATCCATCCTCGCGAATTAGATCTTTCACGCGATCGAGAACTCTTCCTAGCAAACACCCAATTCCCCCTCTTTCGCTTTCTTTTTGTGTCTCCCACGCTCCCTGTGCTTTGTCGTAGGATTCATTAAATGCCTCAGCACTTCCGGAATCTAGAGTTACTAGGAATTTTCAATCAGACGTATCGTGTCTAGATATTCATGCCTCATGCCTGTCGGCTAATCCGCAAACTATTTTTTGTTTATCGATCCATTTAAGACAAGTGAACACAAGGTCGTTATATTTGTTTGTCGAAAGGGTCGAAAGTATCGCACGATACCACCGTACATTATGTATTATTATCTGCAATTTTCGAAATGTGTACATATACATACTTAATACGATGTATTGTATCATTTTTAATGGTCTGTTGAAAGAAATTATCACATGTGACAATACGTATTTTATTAAATGTAGTCAAAGTTGTAAAATGAGACTACTCATTTTCTATACAAGATTTTCACAAAATCGCGTTCGACTGCACTCTGTTTACGTGCCAGTTATAGAGTTCCATTAACAAAAAATGCAAACATTCTCCTTTAAAAAAAAAAATATATATATATATAATAATTACATATAATCGTTCGCTAATTTCTATTTAACTATTAATGCTGTCTTTACACGTCCCTGCTCGAGAAATTAAAATTCTTGAAAAATTTCCACATTATAACTCTAGAAAAAAAAAAAAAAAAAAAAAAAAAAAAGAAAAAGACTGATATGACGATCCTCAGGCAGTAATCTGGTAAATGATGATTCAATAATGAACAAGAAAGGAAGATTCGCGCCTGGAATACAAACAGGGTCAGAATGCATTGTATTGTAATTTTATGTCTAATATAATCAATAATTTTATCAACACGACAATTTTTATAATTGTGTACTCCAGTCTGATCTTCCTCTCGCATTTCTAAAAAAAAATGCATATCTTGTACAATGCATGAGTCATGAATACGTATCAAATAAATATCTCAATTTTCATAAATACGTTAGAATGAATCGCTGTGAAACATCATGTAACGGTATACTGATGAAGCTCTTGCAAGTTCATTCAGAAACATTTATTGAGAGAATCAGTTCTTTTCGCAGCTGCTTTCTCTTGATTAACTGTTTCCGAATCTTCAGTTTTGTTTCACTGAACATTGACGGCGTACATCCCACATATTCGTTCTTTACTTTACTTAATTATTAGGAACACATGGAGAGAGGATCTAGCACACAGGCGACACGTGCCTCTTGAGAATTAGTACAAAACGGTACCGTAGAACAAGATGCGAGACCTTAAAAAGAATGTAACTCGCTAGAAATACAATCGTGCTTGAACGTGCAAATGCATTTGATGACTTTAACTTAATAATTTTGGCCATGCGCTAGCAACCTGTTACAACACGCGTGGCGGTCGTATCCATTATTTTTTTTTTCCAGTAATATTCTATCAGCAGTCGCAAATTGTGACGCACATACGCCACAATTTCAATGGCGCCATTACTTCAATTACTTCTCGTTAAAAACATCTTAACATTATAATATTAGTATTAATAATAGACAATAATTATCATAATAACGACAATGTCGGATGACGATGCATCATATCGCAATAACGATCATTTCATAATCGGTTCCACGTTGTATTGGAATTCGTGAAACTGAAATCGTCTCTGATAACAGGATTGAATATTTTGAACGTGTTTTTGCATTAATTCTCCAATGCAGTCAATCGCAGGAATGTTAATTTTTATGTTTCAAGTCGTTTGTTATCAAGGCATTTATACGCTATCGGCTTACTGGCCGACCATAATTGGTTGTCAATGCGACCTGCCGATCGCCGATAGCTTTCGCGCTCGTGCCCGAGCCTCCGTGCGAATATTTGTGTATTCGAACCACAAGACATTAGGAATCAGTGTCGTGTCGCGCAGCAATAAGAACTCTGATAATCGCCTGAAGAATAGCAAAGATTACAATGAATGAATATTATTATTAAGCAGCGGTCATACTTTACAACTGTTATAAAACTTTGATATTGCTGGTTCATATATTTAGATCCAATAAGGAACCATGGCCAAGATAAATATCATATTAAAGAATTTCTTGGACAGCAATTGCAAAACTGTTTTCTCTGCTGAATGCAGCCATTATCGCTGTTATTACACTATTTCCCGATACTCACCATGAGACTATTATAGGAAAAAATGGTGTCAGAACCATATGCATGATTATGAACCACGCTGTTCCCAGTGCAATTCCAATTAATGCACCCCAAACTACTTGAGTGTTGGAGTGGTACAGTAGATACACTCTGCTGTAAGTTACCAATAAGGCTGTGACGATGCATCCTATCGCTACTATTGTCCGCCAAAATCTCTCGATTATCGTACAGTTGTAATTTAACCTGGAAGAAGGAAGGTAAGTGAGCTGACAAGAGCGAGTGATATGATCCTAAAATAATTTATGATGTTACCTAAAGTATATAAAAAGTGTTGCGTATGCAGCGAAAAACCACATAAATTGTGCATGTGTAGATGGCATGCCGTATTCGACATACAGGCCATCTCTCTTCATCGGCCTTGCTTGACGAATCATGTGTTTTAATACATAATTTATACATTCATTGATAGCAACTCCGATAAAAAATACGATCTATAATTAAAGAACAAGTTATGTTTGTAAATTATAAATTAAATCTGTCTAAAGTACTACAAGAGAGCTACATGTATTATTACAATTAACTTACGGTATGTAAATCCCTCCTAAAAAGTATCAATGTGATGAAACCAGTTAAAATGGCAAAGGGCATTAGACTTATTACAGCCAAAAGCTGCCCAAAAATATCCCCTGAAAATTTATGAATACACATTAATGTCAGAAACACAGATACTTTTTATCATTTTAAATACACAAGTACTTTCGTAAATTTTGTTAAAAGAAATATTGAATATTCAAAATTCTTAGCAGTATAAATTAAACAATTCAATAAGCATATATTGACAACTTTTTATCCAAAACAATTTCACAAATTCTTCAGAATTTTAACATATAAAATCAATTTCTATTAATGTTATCTACGTATGTATAATTAAATGTTATGATTTAAGCAAATGCCTGGCTAAGTTTCGTCCATATGATGATGGCAATGTGTAAATTAAATAATCAGCAACGAAGCGCGAGGTGAAAGCTCGGGATACTGACAGTAAGAGACGCCGTGCATTCGTACCTTGCGGATACTCCACCAATGTCAGAGATAACGGGATCCATTCGGTCTCGTCCAGCGGCTTGTCGGGCGATGCCATCGTTATCGTGATTCTCGAGGATGTGACATGTCTCACACCGTCACACGGCGTCTCACAGTGAACGGACGCGCACCGGCTGGATGACAGGAGGGAACGAACTCGAGGGAAGGGGAAGGAGTTTCGTATTTACACTCGCGACTACGATATCGTGGCCGCCGCGTTGTCATCCATGGTCGCCATCGCCTGTTTCGTTACTCTTGTTACCGTCGCTAGCGTTAACATTGACCTCGCTAATCTCGCTATAATTGTAGCACGATGTTGACCTATGTTGACGAAGCTAAATGCGCGGCTTCGCCGACGGCCGAACGGGTCGTCGTGAAAGCGGGAGTTCGATGTGCCCCTTCCCCCCCC